GGGGGGGGGGGGGGGGGGGGGGAGGAATGCCACAGCTGAGAAAGTCACTCATCCAGACAGTTTGCGCACATCCCAGGCGGGAAGTATTAAGTTTGCTGCTGCGCAAACATGCGTCACGCAACACATGATTTTCTGCGCTTGGCTTATCTCAAGTAGCAGTCCGGAGTCTGTACTGTAACCTTTCAGTAAATAAGCCTGTGTCCATGACATGGCGAAAACAAAAGGGACATTTGACAAAAGCCTTTACTGTCATCTGCTGTCCAAAACGCGCCACTGCAGGCTCTTGAGTTCAGGGACCTGATCAGAGAACAGAGCTGGGAGCTAATGAAGGAATGAAATGATAAAACAGGCCACGACCAAATTAGATTCAGAAACCACTTTTTTTTTATTCTGTAAATGGGTTACGACTCAGACTGTACACAACAGATATTTTTCTGAGTTTAACCCCATAAAACCAAAAGAAGCATCCAGAGACGAGGGAGCAAGGTGGTCTGTTTAGTGGGAACAAGGGGAGAAAAGCAATAATCTGAGTTGTTTTACCTTTCTAATCTGAAAGTAGACTTCCAGAAAAGAAAAGAGCTTGTCTCATTTGGGGTGGGGGAGTGACCACCCTGCTTCCTGCTACTGCTGTTCTGAACATGTCAAGCAGTTGCTCTCTTGAGAGATTCTTATACAAAAAGACAAAAACTAGAAAAAAAAAAAATCAAATCAAATTCACATTACACAACACTTGAATAACAACAAGGGGGAGGAGAAATGAAAAACCATGTGTAACTGTGCCGGAACAGGCCCCGCAGATAATGTTGATTAAATCAATAGTAGAGCAGTTTTCCCCACACACAGACGCGGGCACGTCCGTGTGCCTCGTGGTAATACGTTATGATTGAGTTCATGCCAAGGCTCGGAAACGCCTTCCCTCACTACAGCTGGCGGTATATAGTGCTGTGATCAGAGACGGACGGTTTCATACACTACACGTGTTATAATGACCACATTAGTCCACTTATCGTATTTTTTTCTTCTATTACATCAAATAAAAAAAGAATAGGCTAAATCCCTCACAAGAAGCTATGCAGATTACCATAGAAACTGATGACGAGACGATCTACCGACACACAGGCACAGTGCACAAGCTGGCAGGCAGGAATGGGAAAGAAATCTGTTTCTTAATAGTACAAAAATGCTTTTTGGAACTTTTTTTGCGCCCCGCCCCAAACTTTTTTCCTCTTTTTGCATCAAAGCACAACCCAAATCATGAGGCCAGAGCTTTGATCTGCATAAACGTGAGGCAGGGGGAAGGCAGACTACGGCCATCGTAGGATCCCCCCGCCAACAAATAGATGAGAGGGTGTGTTTTTAGCTGGAGATCACACAACATTCACTTCATCCAGTTGTCCCAACCTTTGTCTGGTATTTTTTTTTGTCTGTGTGTGAACATTTGTGGGAGTTTTTGTTTGTTTTGGTCAGGTACGTGTGGTCAGAGAGCATCTTAACAGCACTATGGTGAGGCAGTGACTGACTGAGTAATCGGACCTCATGGGGAGTCCGGACGGGGCCTTTCGGGGGTTCTCTGCTGGACTCGCTCCTTCTGCAGCTGGCTGGGAGTTACTCTGGTCTTCTTTTTTCTTTTTTTTTTTTTGTTTCCACCAGAACAGAAACGGTTCAGTCCAGATCAGCATTTCTGCGGGAGGTGAAACACCTCAGTCACAGACCATACGACCACTTCTCGGGTCGGACATGCAGAACAATCTTCTTCATGAGATTAGCCCACAGACAAAAGATTGACTTTAAAAAAAATGCAAACAGCTTTACATTTGCACATTAGAACATTAACATAAGAAAAATAAATTCTATATATATTCTTTTTTTTTTTTTTTTTACACGCATATTTCTCGTTATGAACTTATACGTGTGTGCATCAGCAATGCTGAGCACAGTAGGAGTCTTAGTCATCTCTTTATCTGTTTACCAGGCAATAGTAAGTTTGTTCTAATCCACCTGACTGGTTAAGTGAGCGGAGGATAAAAAAATAAAACAAAATCTGGCGTGACCTACAGATAAATTCCTTGGGAGTGATAAATGTGATGGAAACAAAGCGATGAAAGCACGGTTAAAGTGTGCGGCAACAGATCGATACGCGTGTGGTTTATGTTTTCAAGGGCACTGGAAAATCATAACTCCTGCAGTGTTTCCGTCTCGCCGCGGCTCCGAAATGTTTTGGGTCGGGCTGGGGTCTGGCCCGGCCCATCATACTTTGCTCTCAGTGGTGTTTGTCTGTATCACACTGTTGTGTGCTGCAGTGATCAGGGTGTTTGGTGAGCCTGCCTCCTCCGCTTTGACTTTGTCGTCAGCAAAACTCTTCCTGCAGAGGAAAGACGACACAATTGGAAATTAGAAACGTGGACATCGGCGGAAAGAACATCTCACCAAACCAACATCTTAGCCCCGACACGTTTCTAGCCATTTATTCTCAATGACGTCTTCACCCAATATGTAAGAGGACGGCGTTTCCTCTTACATATTTCTTCACCACCTTGACGATCGTCAGATCGAAGACAGATAAAAACATAACCACATCCCATACCGAGAAGCATTCCTAAACTCACACAGGAAATGCTTTAAAAAAAAAAGTATAGTTCTACATCAGGGACGGTGCTTGTCCTGTGCTTGTGATGCGTTCAGGGCAGGAAAACACCACAGCTGAGCCTCTGTTCTTTTGGTTTCATGGTAGCGTCCAGTTTCAGCCTCAAACAAAGCATCTAGTAATTATTAAAAGATTATCTAACAAGTGGAATATGTCACGTTGCCGGTTGAGAGACAGACTCAGCACAGCCGCTTTAAACAGCTTTCATCAGAAATGTCTTGACTGTCGTGCATAGAGCTGCAGTGTTAGCACAACGGTATGAGACGAGAGCCCGGTGATGCCAACTAAACCGCCTGATCTGAGTAGTGTCATGGATGAGGATCATGAGGATTTAAGACTTTTTCTGGATACTGCTGTAGAAAAACAGGGCAGGAAACTCTGGGGCTACTTACTGTGTGTCTAAGAAAGGCCCTTCCTGTGCCTGAGACTTAAACTAGCCATTAATCATTATCCACCAGCCGTTCCTTGTAGAGCGAACCGTCCTTTACAGGTTGATGTTTTAAACTGGGCTGTTTAGGCTGAAGACTATAAACTGAAACACATCTATTGATTTGAATTGAGACAAAGCACCAGCACAACTCAGCCCCAACTGATCCACTGGCTTCTACCGGTTTGATTTGGACTTTTCATGTGTTTGCGGATTTTACATCAGCTCATTGAAGCCCAACATTTGGAAATACAACAACACAATTATAAGCTTATTGTAGCATATTTATGTTATGGGCTGCATGCCTGAAAAGTGGCTCAACTGTGTTTGGTGTGATTGCTACGCACACCCCCCCCAACAACTGTCACACACAAGCATTAAATAGACAACTGACATTTTAACTGCTGTCTGCACCATTCAACTAATAATCATCCCACTGTCATTACCACAGTCCACCATTACAATATTATCATGTAATGGTAAATAACATCTTTTGTGTGGTCAATGGCAAGATGCGGTGGTGAATGAATGGGCATACAAGTTACACACACTCACACACAGATAAACCTCTAGAGGGAGCCGTACTCATCGCTGACAGAAGGAGCAGTCTTGGCCAGAGTCTCTGAAGCCTCCACAACTGGGCCTGAGGGGGGGAGGTCTGCTCCATCTCCATTGGCCAGAGAGGGGGCAGCGGGCGGGCTCTCTAAGCTAATGAGGTCTGAGAGGGGCCGGGGGCGCCTTCCTGTGCCGTTTGTCAGCTCCAGCTCCAAAAAAGCATTTTTGGGCCCTGCACCTGGGGCTGTCAGGTCATACACGTCTGACCTGGGTGTGAGCAGGTCGCTGGAGGCGGCAGAGGTAATCGGGGTGACGGGTAAAGGCGAGGGAACGTCTGAAACTAGGGAAGCAGGTTTCGGCAGATCCGACTCTTCGAGAGAGCCGGAGACGATTAAAGGAGCCCTGCCGGCACCAGCCTTGTTTGAGGGCACGTTGTTGTCAGTGGGGGCATCTACAGGCCTGTCTGTGTCAAAGGCAGTGAAGTCGAACCCGCTGGGATTCGGAGCTTGAGAATCTGTGTCTGGTTTCAGGGGGGCACCGGACGCGTGAGTGGGGGCCGCTTGCGCTGGTCTGCCAGCGCTTAGGGCTGCGGTGTCTGGCTGCGTGGTGAGTTTGGTAACCGGTGGGCTGGGGGCAGGTTTCCTGGGGTGAGGGGAAGACGACGCCAGAGGAGAAACGGGGGGGCTATTTTTGGCATTCAGAGCGGCAAGTTTGGGCGAGTGTCTGCGCTTCGGCGGTATCGGCGTTCCAGACTTTTGAGGCCTATTCTGTTCAGGGGTACAAGGGGGGGTGTTTATTTTCTCATGTTCTTCTGGGGTGCTACTCCCTCGTTGCTCGAGCAGCGGGGCCATTTTAGCTTCAACGGCGGTCGAAGAGATGACGGGAGGCGGCGGGGCAGTGTTGGATTCTGGGGTCGGGGCCGGAGCAGCGAGGGGGGTGGGCGAGGGCTCGTTGGCTGGGGTGGACAGGCTGCACGTGAGGGTGGTGCTCTCGCTAGAGGGGCTGTCCTGAGCTTGGTCATTTGTTGCAGTGGCTGTGTCAGAGTTGGTGGCTACGGAGGAGGGGGTGTCCAGTGCCAGAGAAGCCACCAGCCTGAGAGAGCAGGGAGAGAACAGAGACACACAGACTAGACACCAGGGTGACTGTGACAGAGGAAGGGTGGCTCGGACCAGAGCATGCAGAGGGATTAGTTGGCTTTAGAAGTTTTGCACAAACAGACAAAGCAACTCAAAAACACAGCAAAGATTAAGCCTAGTGAGAAAAAGAAAGAAGAAAAAAGGGCGTCATGCTGTGAGTGAACATTAAAGGAAAACGTCCCATACACACACCAACATGGAACACACTGATTACGAACACTAGTGTGCGGAAAAAAGGCAGGCGCCTTCCTGCAAAGACTACAGCACCACGTCGAACCACCTACAAGGGTTAAACAGTACCAGCGACAGTCTCATACTGCTTCAGGTTTTTTTAGGCTGCTGACATTAGATGGCTTGTTGTGGCGGTCAAAACGTAGCCTGCGTGTCTTTAACTGGTATTGCTTCAACCGTCATAAAATGAGACAGAAAACCTCCAATAGCCGGAGAGGAAACACAAAGTACAGTAATCCCTCTGGTGGGGAGTAGAAACGGAAAAGCAACGCGGTCCAGTGGACTCCACTCAAGAACGATCTCGACTTAAAAAAAGACACATTGATACTGAAATTTAGTCCTGTCAAATAACAGGTTTATTCTTTAAAGTGGAGTGACTGTCCAACAGCTAAAAAGACTTACAGTAAGCAGTAAAAAGGCCGAGTGCCATTTGTCAGCTTTTACTCACTCCGGCTTGGTGAGCGGTGTAGTTTCATTGGGTTCTATTGGTCCTGCTGCGTTATGGTTGGCAGTGCACTCCTCTTCTGTTCGGACTTCCACGATCGGCTCTTTGGACTCATCTTTCCTGTAAGAGACAAAGGGCGACAGATTATCGCACTGAAGCACTGGATATGCAGGTCTGCTTTGTCATGTGAGCGTTACGGTTGCTTTTGCTTCATCTCATTGTTCTTACACTGGCTGAGCAATCCTAACAGTGGAACCCCAAAAAGGATTTGTTTCCTTAAGATGCACAGAGACTCAGATTATTTTCAACAGATTATCTGTAAACGCACTGGTAGTTTCTTCCCTTGTGTGGAATAAAAACAGAATATCTTTGTGGAGGAGTCTCCCAAAGCAAGTTGGCCCTGGGTGTCAGATTCCCAGAGCCTTGTTATCTGGCCTGGATGAGAGGGACAGAAGCCCCACCCTGGACGGGGGCCTGGTGGTCAGACCATGTCCCTTGGGGAGTCGGGCTCTGTTGGTGCTTAGGTGCTTAATGAGGCTCTGGGCCTGGAGCTGGAAAGTGGGCCACCTGCGGAGTTTGATGCTTGTGTGGGTAACGGTGGGGAAAGCTGCTGATTGGGGCAAATGGCCTGCCTGATTTGAACCCGAGTTGTATGTCTGTGCCAGCAACTGCATGTCCATAACAGATGCCGTGTTCCAGCAGAGCAGTGCACCTGGCATCAGGATACACTTGGTCACAGATCAGTGACTGATTGTGTAGCCATCTCATCAGACCTGCGATCGTATCACCTGGCAGACCGTCAGACTTTACCAACACTGCCTAAAGTGGGGGCGGAAAGCTACTGACCGTGACTGGAGTTTTAATCTGGCCACAGAAAGAATACTTCTCAACGCCAGAAACAAAGGCGGGGGGGGATTTACAGTAATCTGTGCTGAAGTTTCTCCGGTCGGGGTAAGGGTCATGTCGCCCTCTGATTTTGAACTGTTAGGTGCGAGCTTTTCATTTTTACATGGTTATCTGACAGGAGTAAAAAACATTAACTGCATACTCACACAAAGGCTGCCTTGCCCTCTTCCAAGTTGTGCCCTTTTGTTCCAGTGCCCGACTTTCCGCAGAGGCACATGATGAGGCCACATTTGTTGACAAAGTAACAGGTGACATCCACAGCCAACAGCAGGAGTATAAACACTACTACAAGGATCCCTGCCCAGAGCATGATGCCCATGGAGAGAGTGGCCTCCTCACCCAAATCTGCCCGACAAGAAAGAGAGAGACGGCTGAACAACAGGGGAAAGAAAATAAAACTCTGCTTTGACTCTGTATCCTGTAATGAGTCTTACTCACCTGCGACAGAGTGGGCAGTGAAATGTTCAAATGATTTTACATGCTGTCGGATTTGTGACGACTGATGTCTGACTTGTCAGTTTTCATCTAAATCAGCGTAACTATGAGGCTTGTGGAGCGTTTAAACAGGAGCAGCTGTTTAAAACATAAAAAGTCTACTTCTATAATCAACCCATTTATTTGATATTAGAAAGACAAGGAAACCAAAGCTTACAACGTGTTGCTGGTTACATGCAGGATATTTTGTGGACACAGAGTGAACGTCAGGAATCCTCCAGGTTAAATGATTTCTACATTTTCCTTTAAAGGAAAATACACTTTAAGTAAAGAATAGATGTGCACAGCTCTCTAAAACATCTTCTGTTAAATAGATATACGACATAAATTTAACTCTGTGGATACAGATTAACAGGTAAACAAAGCCTGCAGCTGAGTGAAGCACCTCCCAATTATAAATGTATAAAAACCAGTATGTAATTCCTGGAGGCATTTGACAAACATCACATGCTTAAGAAATGTTGGGACATTTGTCTCAGTGATCTGCACGAAAATAAGTTTCCTTAATGGTAACACTGCATACAGTTGATCAATCTGTTCCAATAAAAAAAAAAAAATTACAAACATTTAATTTTCTGTTAGCTGTTTTTCTTCTCAATGTAAACGTTAATTTGGCTAACTTTACAGTTGATCTGCCTTATTTTGAGAGACATGATATAATACAGTGTTTACGCAAATGGACAGGTTCAGTGCTCAGCTCTCACTCCGTTCTAAGTGCTTATTTTAAAAAATATAATCCTGATTCCACTATTGCTCATGACTGTAAACTGACACTCTTCTGTTGTCTAGCTGTGCTAATGCTGAGCGGGGTGGATCAGTGGGAGGCGAAGGATTTCCACTGCCTTTGGTTCAATACGTCTGTCCGGTCTGCTCTGAAGCAACAGCATCCTTTTCTCACGTCTGTCACAGACAAAGTCTGTTTTAAGGAGTGTAAGCGTCCAGAAAGGCAGCCAGGCCAGAGAAAAGGCGAGCTCCCCTCTACTGTTACGATGCAAGTCCCGAATGTAAACTATGACAGCAGGAGCACAGTGATGAGGGACAAGATGAGTGATACCAAAGTGCATGTCACAGATGAGCAGCCCTGAGTGGCTGAGGGTGGAGACAGCACAACCCAGACCAAAATGCACACAGGTCAGGACGAACATGTTCACGTGGTCCACCACACCAATGTCCAGGATCAGGCAAGAGAGCAGGAACATCGAGAGGGGAAAGAAAGAAGAAAGGAAAAGAGAATAAAGGGCAAGGAGAGGGGATGAAGGGAAGCATAGAGGAAACAAAAGAAAAGGGTGGGGAAAAACAGAGGAAGAGAGAAAGTGAAAATGTGTCAGGTCTGAAAACCAAAAGTGAAAAATAAAGAAATAAAGAAACTGATTTTTTAGCATTGACAAAGGGAAAAAAAAACAACAACAAAAAAACGGCAACACATTCAAGCAAAAGCACAGCACAAAAAGGAAAACTACACCATGTGGATCAGATGGTGACTTGTTGGTGGGTGAGCAGAGGATGCCTTAGTTGGGAAGATGAATTAAAATATAGTGAGAGGGAGACATAATGGCCTGCTGTGATGTTTCAGTGAAGTCTGATGACTAATTTTAAAAGGCTGCGTGGGTTATTGATGGTTAGTAAAAGGCCTTCGGCTGCAGTTAAGACGTCCGCGTAAATGTTAATTAGGAGTCATTTTAAATCTCATCCCAGTGATCATCGCAACAGTAAACAAAGGAAAGGCACGGCCATTTAGAAGAAATCATTTCATCCTTCGTGGAAAGTGCCTGTCTCAGCACAACGAGCACAAACTCAAGCTCATTCAGAAAAGGCTGGGAAAACTTTCAGGTGAGAAAATTCAACCGGAAAATCATTTCTGGCCCTCCAGCGTCCAGGAAATCAATTTTCTTTTTCTGTGGATTTATTTGTCTGTCATTCACCTCTCAGAGCTACGGTTAAAAATATGGCTTTGAGTTTGGCTCCACACTTTTCTGGTTGTTACAGAGCGTTTTAGTGCAAATGACAAAAGCGTGTGTACCTGGTATGGCCTCGGGCTCTGAGGACGTCTTGAAGGACATGGTTGCAGGCTTCGACTTCCCCTTCTGATTCTCTGCCACCACATAGACGTTGTACTCCGTGTCCCACTCCAGCCCACTGAGAACCACGTGCTCGCTGATACTGGGCAGCCGGATTTCAGGTTTCCATTCTGGTGATTCTATCTAAGGACACAGACAAAAAACAAACTTAATGCAAATACTTTTAAGTTTGAATTAATCTACAGTTGGCTTTCTTGAAAACTTACTAAGCTATTTGACTTCTTAGAAATGAGAAACTATGTAAAAAGTCTTGCCTCTGAAGGGCTTGAACAACTACACAATCTGACAAAATCTGATATACAGGACTGCAAATAATAGATTTCATGTACATGCATTTGAAATTCTTGAAAGATTATTCGATCTGTTTATCGAAGGACAAGAAAAAATAGTGCACAGTTCTTGAGAAAAATGTGGAACATTGAATGAATTATCAGAATATTTGATTATCATTGGCCAATAAGTAAATGTTCATTTGTAAATTAAGTAAAATATTTAGAAACAATGCTCTCTATGTAACAGTTCCCTAATTACTAGCTTTCTGCTAAAAGTGTTTTAAATATATTTGTTTACCTTCTAAAACAATAAAAAATATTACATCATCAAAGCGTTCAGCACGCCGTGACTCCTCAAAGCATAAAGCAAGAGCCGTGCATGCACAGAGAGAAAAACTGTAACAATGTAAGACGCCCGCTCTGCAGCCAGCTTTGGGTTTGTGGTTCCCAGGCATGAATCTGAAATAAGGGACCATAAATTACTCACCGGCTTATAACGAATAAGATAATGCAAGATGGGAGAGCCGCCATCATCTTGTTTGACCCAGCTGACTTTGAGGGAGTTGCCTTTAGGCTGAAGCGACCCTTCAAGTTTCGGAGGATTGGGATTCCCTGCAGGCACATAAGAGCAAGACAGGTTTAAAAACTAATTTGTAACAAAAAGTAAATAGACAAATCAAAAGTTTGAAACTAGCAGCCTTCTCTGCTGGCATCCTCAGAGGTCACTTCACCTTAATAACGCGCCCCTAGCGTGTCCAGTTGTGCTAATTAGGCAGTGACACACAACCCCATGCTCATGTGATTCATCGGACTTGCTGCATATTGCAGCTGTTGCTGAGTGGCATTCATTTGGATAAAAAAACTGCCAACTGACATTCCATCAGTGACACAAAGCTTGTGGTGGTCACATTTCACAGCACAGTTAATAGGTTTGCCAGTGAGATGTCCACTTTGTTGAGGCAAGGACAACTTATTGACTCACAGCTGTGCTTCGTCATTCTTAACACTAATTATTAAGCAGAACACAGCTCAGATGTCCGCTGCAGCACACCAGATTAATACTTATTCTTCTACCTTTATCCCAGTCACAGAGCATTGCAGTTTCAGCTGACTCTTCCTCCAGAACCACTGTCCAGATTTATAGACATTTAAAGAAGTTAAATCAGTGCAAAAGATGCTGCTTGTCCACTTCCAAAAACGTTTATCAGTGTTAAAGATGAAAAAAAGAGAAAACTTTAACTACTAACAATTATAACTACATATAATCTGCCCTTTTCTTTTAAACAGGTAAATAAAATTGTTTAAAATATTGTAAAAATACTTGAAGAAGCTCTTAGGGTCAGCGATCAAATATATTTTGATAGACCAGCTGCCAAAAAACACAGAATTTATTATCATAGGATAACCATCATCTTTAAGAAGCTGAAACATTGAAATTGAGCTATCAAAGCCGGTGTCTTCTAGTTTTTCTATCCAACGGCGACAAACTGCAGACACACAATGACTTTTTTTATTTTGTAATTACTAAAAATCAACAGGAGAGCTGTTGGTTAGTGTTGACACCTGTGACTGTATTACTTTCCAAAAGATAAGGAATTAATTCAGTTAGTTAATTGGGCCTTTAAGGTTCTGTGAGGTTAATCATAATAACAGCATGGAAAACATAGTGGGATGTTGTAGCTTTCAGCAAAAATAACAGAGAAAACCAGAGCAGACGCAGGGAGGAGAAGGGTGATCAGGGAGGAAACTGACTCTGTATCTCCTGTGATTAGAGGAAAATGTTTATTGCACATCTGATTTATCATAAAGCTCCCACGCAAGTAAGAAGGAACATCCCACAGAGAGCAGAATATCAGTGCTATGCAAGTAGGGAAAACTCTGGTTCTCTCTTCTATTCTGTTGAGCTGTGTGTCAACATGAGGGATTAAAATATTACATGGAAGCATAGAAGCATATAAAGTGTTTAATTTACATATCCTTTGGTTAAAGTTAGCAGTATTCACACAGGAATGTGCAACACTAAGTTACCTTCTGCAGAGTGGAGGGTGTCACCAGCACCATACAAGCCAAGTAACAGTCACAGACACATGGAATGACACATGTGAGAGGTTGGAAAAGACACAGCATAAAAGGCAGCAAAACAGCGGTGAACAGATTGACTGTGAATCCAAACAGAGCACACTGCTAAACTGCACATTCCTTCCTCTTTTTTGGATTCTTGAGGTTGAAAAGTGAAGCAAACATCAAAGGCTGGTCTTCCTGACTTTAGAGAATTTATCATTTGCAAGGCAAGCGATTAATCAATGCTGATGGCTCTAATCCAAATACCAGCGCTACTTAACTCCAGCAAATGTTTGAAACCAGAGGGGAAATGTGCAGCTTTGAATTTCAAATATTCATCACTCATTCATCTATCATACTGTCATTACACCAACTATTTCACCAGCTACAACTCTGAGCCTCGTTGTTATTCCTATTTGGAGGCTTTAGCTGTAAACTAAAGGTGAACTAAAAAGGAGTTCTCAGTGATGACACAAGTACACAGTTTCTATAGGGACAGCAATGCTTTAAAGTCAATACAAACACTGCTAATCAACAGGGCTGACTGGGACTATTCTGTAGGGAAAGAGACAGCTACAGCACTAAAAACTAATCTCCTATGATTCCCATCAGAGCAAACCTGAGCCTTCTGTGAAAAAATGAAAAATGCCATCTGGAGACATGAGACAAGAAAGGCAATCAGAATACGTTTTTTGCAGAAATAACCTTGTGAATCAGCAACAAGGCTGGATTGAAGCATTAGGAGGACTCATTGCTGGCAGTCAGCTTCAGAAAAACAAAGTTTGGCGACAGACCGACATAGTGCCAATATAACACAAATAACAGCTTCTTTGAATGTGATGTTACGAAGTGGAACTGTAACGTCTATCTACTGAGAGAAAATCTTTGACAAAATTAGATAAAATGTCAATAATTTCCTCTTGGTTTTGCTTCTTGCCTCTTCTTGCGCAGACACGGTCCAAACCAATAGACAATTTACAACAAATCATTATCTAATTCTCGTTAACTTTATCTTATTTGGTACTAAGCCGAATTTTAAAGCTAATACATTATCACAACAACAGAGGAGAAAATTAAATCTAGATCTGAGCAAAGAGGACTGAATCACTTACTTTTGGAGGAGGGGCCTGAGAGATACAACAGAAAGATGAGCAAATGAACACAAAAAGATGATTAGGTTATCAAAAGTGTAAAACGAAAAAAGCGAGCTGATCAGAATACAGACAGCAGAACTCCAGATGGACTGGACTGCAGGACCTCTCCTCGGATAATAGAATACAATAGAATACTTTATGGATCCAACAGTGGGGAAATGAACACATAGTGTGTGGGTCCAACCAACAGAGGGCACTAAAGACTAAATAATGAATGCGATCTGATGCTGGTGTACAGGAGAAATCACACTTGATGCTTTTCAGATAAATTAAGACATATTGAGGTTTGAAAGCAAGTGTGCTCGGTGATGAAACCAGTATGTAATTCCATGTGCAAAATAGCAGCAGCTCATTTGAAGTTATTCCTGATGACAAATGGGCTTCATGATATTTTAGGGTTTAGGTTTTCCATAATGGAAGAAGAAAGTTTTAGAAGTGCAGGCACTCACAGAAGCAGACATCAAACCTGGACTCGGAAAAGAGGTTTTGGTTGAACTGACATGGATGTAAATTGTTTACTGTGACGAGAGAAATCAAAAGTTTTGCTACAAGTTTCACGATGATCTGTGAAGGCTTTACTTACGGACAGGCTCTGTCTTGAAGAACTCAGCCGCGCTGATTTCACCTTCCCCCTTGCCATTGATGGCTGATAGCTTGACTTCGTAGCCGGTCTCGGGCTTCAGGCCTTTGATCGTCAATTCGCCGATGAGGCCTGTTCAAAAAGGGAGTCAGTGAGAACGCCCTTATCGCATTCCTTTTTCCAAAAACGCACGCACAAGTCTGTCACAATCAGACACTGCTCAATTTAGTTCACTCAGTGTTTTAAAAAATGTGTTTATTTATTTTGAAGATGGTCTGAAAACTAAATAACTCCTAACAGGCAGTGTGTTAATTACTTTTGGGACCAGGATATTTTTCTATACATCATATATATATCTAGATTCGAAGAAAAATATTTGACTTTTTAGCTGTATAAAAAATGTATTACAAGTATTAAGAGTGTTTTTAGTACATTTAAAATAATCCACAACAAACATCAACATATTTGTTGAGGTAGGTTTTTACCATCTTCAATCTCGAAGACGTCCTGCAACCAGTTCGCCCTGCCCTGCTTCCTCCACTCGGCTCTGTATCTCAGAACAGGAACGCCTCCTGTGGATTCGGGCTCCTCAAACCGGATCAGCGCGGTGGTGGAGAAGGGCCTGACTTCATTTATCGATGGAGCCGATGGAACCTCTGTAGAGGGAGGAACCAGTGCGTTTACCACAAAAAAGTGCAAAGGCTGTAGCATTCAACACATGAGATTCCTCCACTTCATGAAGGCATCCAAAAGGCTGTTTGGTCTTTGCAGAAAATTTGGATTCATGACAGTGAAATTGTGTCTATTGCTCCTAATAGTGCATATTCCTCACATACCCTCACACAACACAGTTTAGCATAGGGAGAACTGCCTGTAACTGCACAAAGACAACACCTGAAAACTGAAAGGTTAATTTTCATTTCAAACCAAACTGGAACGGCTCAGTAAACCATTACTGAATCCATCCAAATTTGATTGGGGTGCTTTTCCAGATTTTATTTCAGGAACAAGGCTCACTGGGATGCCCAGTCAGACCACAGGTCGCATCCGGCTTGTGACAGAGAATGTGTCTTTTGTGTGCCTCCAGGAATGGGTTTTATTTGCATCAGTTTAAGATTTTTACCAACATAAAGGATAACAATCTATAGTAAATACTGGAATTTGTCTAAATGAGTACGGGAAATCCTTCCTGATATGTGGTAAATAAATAAGCAGCTCTTTCTCTTTTGAGTGTGCCAGAGACTGACCCCCCCCCCCATTCCGATGCCTGATCTGTGACCTTCATCTTACAGTGACTCACAGAGGAACTACTGCTGTGCTTTTTTTGGAAATGTATGAATATCTGTAGGCAGACAACAAAAAAACAAAGGCGATAGAACTTGTGGTGAATAGAATACGTAATACGAATACAAAATGCATTGAATTATTTCAATTATATAACATCGAATTTTCTTTCAAGTTTGCCAAGAAGCTAAATACATTTAGGCTACTGTGACATTAAATGACAATTAGTTTTTTAAAGTCCATCTCCGTCTAATTTAATTGAAACAAATTCCATGGTTCACCTGCCATTTCTCTTTCCATTACAGAGAAAATGACTGCATTCAAACTATTTAGCAAGCAGAAACAGCCCATATTCAAGGGCCTTTGGATTCACACACTCTGCGGTGAGCACCATTCTGCACTGCATCACTTTGATCTGTAGGCACACAGTAATTACCATGGCTGCCCATGTTCTGCTCTGAGTGAAAAATGTGGCGTGTTCAATTCATTTACTTCGGATTGAGGTTTAGAGGCAGCATTATGTCTCTGCTCTGGGTTCAATTTGCCTTGTTGGTGAGTAGAAAGTCAGCAATGACAGTATGATGCAACAATCAAGTCACCTGTTCTTTTCTTCACATTCGGTAAAATGTTAAAGTTATACAATAATATGAGAAACATTACCTTTCATTTCACTCTGCCGGAGCTTCAATATTCTCAAGTATCTAATTTCTATTTCCACGTCACCTTTTTTATATTTGTACATTCAAACACTATATCCGTACGTTTTGAGAAAATAACTACGTTCTGTAGAGTTTCGTCATTCTTACTGTAACCTTCAGCTGTGAACTTTTTATTTATTTATTTTCCTGTGCAATATCAGATATTGTGAGACGCTATTGGTCTGATGTTCAAACATACACAAACACCCCCTTTATTGACATGGCAAAAAGAGATGCTAATAGGTTAATGGCAGTGCAAACCTTGTTTGCAGCACTTTTTACATCTGTACATATAAAGGCACAGTTACTGTCAGAGTTTATCGAAGAGTGGAGGCGACAGAATGCTCTTTTCTCACTGCTATGCAATCAAACACAGAATCAGCCTCTGACATGCCCTGCTTCTGATGAGAAGACCTCGGGCTGTTGGAACAAATTAAAGAATGAAGGGGCTCTAGTGAGAAAGGAAAGACATCCATAATAAAATCCCCCATGAAGAATGCAAGGGCAGATAACAGAAGTCAGATAATGCTTTTTGACTGTCATAACACCGGTTTGGATAGCACTCATCTAAATATGAGTACTTGTCCTTGTCTTTACATTGAAATATTTTCTTGGTTTTACACGTGTACATAGCCTGAGTTTGCCATCCATCTAAATAAACAGCTCTGAATAATCTTACACGGTAATTGTATTGGTGAAATTTCTATTTAGAAGAAGAATGAAAAACTTCCCACAGCCCAGAGCAAAAATGATCAGGAACAAACCATTTGATTGCAATGTTAAACAGTGGTCACTAACCAGCCTGAATGAGCAGAAACTCCTTTGACTCTGTTCCCATCTCATTTGAGGCAGTGCAGTTATAGCTTCCAAAATCATTTTCAGACTCGGGGGTGATCTGGAGAATGAAAAGAAACAAAGACGCAGCAGTAAATATATGGGGAGCAGGGTGGCAAAACAGACCCCAAACTCGTAACTCCAACACCACGAAGGTGACCTTTTTGTTTGTCCATTAGTGGCCTATTTTTATATGTTGAAGTGAGCTTTCCTACTGCTGAATTATTCATGTTTTTTTTCACAATGAAGCTGAAAGAGAACCCCCTCACATCAAGTTTATGCTCATGAAATGTTGATGACACAGTGGGGGGGGGTATACATTCATAATGGAGTATAGTGCTGATGAACTCGTGTTTGTACCTGCAGGTAGCTGGATGAGGGAGTTCTGTAGACCTTAATGTTTGTGGTGTTTGAGTTGGGCAGCTGCAGTCCATCTCTGAGCCATATGATTGACACATCACTTGGGAAAGCCTTCACCTCGCAGCTGATATTGACAGGATTTCCCTCCCAAGTATACACTGCCACTGTTCCGTGGATCTTAGGAGTGTCTAGGGTGAAAAAACAGGTAATTAACAACAGCCTCCAGCAATATATTTTCACAGCAGTATGCTCATCCTTTAGGTCCTTAACAGAGGAGGAAACACTTACAGCGAACCTCCAGATAAGCCGTCTGATCATCCTCTCCAATGGCGCTGCGTGCTGTGCAGAGGTACTGACCAGCGTCTGTGTATTTGACGTCCTTCAGAGTGAGGGAGGACACACGAGCATCGCTCCTCACCACCACGTTCCCGTCCGGACTCTAACAACAGCAGAAAATTGCACAATTAGGGAGACAAAAAAATGTTTTAATCATTAATTCTCTGTAGCCATATTGCACAGTTAAGTGGTACAATTTTGACAAACGATATGTGAAAGGAAGAAAGTCTAACTTTAAGGACTTCAGATGAGTGAAAAAAGCAAACAGTGCTCTAATAAAGACATGGAAACATAAGGACGTAGATGACAAGGTGGGGAAGCTTATAAAGAATTGATGCCAAAGAGCATTAGAAACCATCTCCAGCTTTTCACATGGCGGCATTACCAACTGGTGAAATATGCTGATGCACTGTCGTATGCAGCAGAACGCTACTTTATGTGCTACGCTTGCACTTTTACACTTAACCGTCATTTCAAATGCTTCTGTTCAAAGAAAATAACTTTCTCGTTTCCCCATTCATCTTCTTCATTTGAGCTATTTTAAGGTGTAATAGCCTGTGATAATCTGTGATCATTTCTTCAGTAAATACGCACTCCGGTGATGAAGACATGTGACCCGTCTCGTTTAAAACCAGGCACTAAACAGGAGAAAGTTTTCTAATGATATGTGTAAATGAGACTCTCGTCTACACATACCTGTTTCCTGAACTTAATATGTTGGCTTACATGATTCATAGCTTCCTGACTTGTACAGACCGCAACTGTGTGTCGATGTGGTTGTCATGTGATACTAGACTGCTGGAGCGTAAGGTTTCGGACAGGCCAAATATCTCCTTCTAAAGAACTTTTAAAGAAGGGAGAGGTTGATAAGACTAATAAAAACACCTTGAAGAAACATTATATTTTAACAATCACTTATTGCAACACTTTTTACACATCTTATCTAAGCAGCCATCAATGATTTTAAGTGGAAAAACACTAAACCCTGCAACTCTAAGACTAAATTAAAATAAAGAGTTGGATAAATAATTGTATTGTGCTACTTTGTGCACAACGTCCTGCAGAGCTGAATGCCTAGGCTTATCCTGGGTGCTTTCATGGCTTTGATCTAAACTGCAAGTAAATCTATGGCAGAATACTTTAACTCTTCTTGAATTAGCTCCCGGTCTGAGCAGCCATGTAAGAGCAACCTGAGTTAGTTTGTATTCTAATTCAATACACAAAGCATGTCTGGGGCATTCATTATGCATCGCGGGTAGCGGGACCAGGAAGACACTTACATAACACACACTACCCTTCTATTCTGACCTCTGTGCAGATGGCATTCTCAGACCACCTCTGTTGTTTTTATCTGTCGGTGGACAAGCAAAGCGCAAATAACCACTAACACCAGGTTTGGAACACAGGTAAAGAAAACAAGAAAAAACTCAAACTAAGGGCATTTCCTTTCAAATGACAGCCTCTCACTTTGTATATCGTCTAGAGAGGTGATAGTTAATTATTAATTTTGTTTTGCTTTTTTTAATAACTGATTTGCACATATGATTCCAAATGGCACAGACGCGTCACAGTTTCACGGTCAATCTAAAATGGGTAATACATTTTAAATGTCTATGTAAGACTTGCAACAGATGGCGAAATAAAATAAGGACTCGAGAATTATGCTTTAGAGAAACAGTCTAGCCGACGCTTGAGATCTCTGTAGAAACTTATCCTCTGCACAAAGAAAAGAGAGACACACTGAGGGAACCTTGGAGCATAAAATTGACACTGCATTGAGGACATGTTAAACTCATGTCTCATCAAATATTAAATGGCCTAGCATACAAATGTATCTTCCACTGCATGGCTTATTAAATGAACACTAACATACTCAGTATGCTCATGCTCCCTCATGCTCAAACTCTCCTCCTGTGTGATTTATAATGGGATGTCTTGCAGAGCAGCATGCTGATCAGCTTGGAGCAGGTGATCTTAAAAACTATATCATTAAGTCAAAACTTTAGGATCATTACTGCCGTTATCATCAATGTAAACGAGTGCACTCGAGACCACACATCAAGCTAATGAACTGCTGTTATGTCATTTTACTTCTTAAAATAAAAAGCCCCATGAGAACGATTTTTAAAAAAGTATTTTCTGTGTAAGGAAGCCATTATCTTTCCTAAGGCTGAGAGACACTCATACCTAGGGTTCGCTCTTTGGGATTTTTGGGGTTAGCTTTTTTAAGGTAAGAGCAGACATCTGTTCGCTAATCCCGAAACCAAATACGTTTCAATTAATTTCATACAGGAAAAAAAAACAACAACATTTAAATTCACTTCTTTGACGGCATATTAATACTGTTGCAAAAAACTGTGCAAACTAATAGAAATCACAGTTTCATTCAGACCTGGTAATTACTGCCAGCATGTGAGTAATGAATTTTTTTTATTAATCGAAACTTTGTGCTGGTGTACGTATCGATTGATAATCTAATTAAATATCGGTAGCTAAGAGGACTGAATAGTGATTGTTAATAAAAGAAAAAAAGAAAACAATTACAAAAACAACAAGCGAAAACTAAAAAGACCGGATCCCTTTATGTGCAGAGCCTCCTGTGATTTGAAATAGAGGAAGGCTATTTGAGGAAACAAGTGGACTAAAAATACATGTTTGGTCTCAATTGCAACAAAATAGTGAATAACAATGGCAACTCTAATCTCAGATTTTTCACTTTAGATAGAAATAGACTGATGGCCATGAAGCCCACAGCCTAATTTGACTCGGTTCTGTCCTCAGACCTTCCCTTAGCAGTGCTCTTGGCTATGTTAAAGTATCCACACCAATTTTTCACACACGTAAAGCACATCTTCAGGAGTGAGGCACGTTAGAAGAAAATCATTTCTGGGCAGCTCTTTCTAAAAACCAATTTTCACCGTCTTTTAGAGGCAGTGCCTTGTTCTGACAGAACAGACACTCCACCATTTTGAATCAAAGACGTAGGAACTGAAAGCTATTTCCTCATGTCAGGAATATATGTGGGAGTTACAGTTCAAATTTGACAGCTAACGGAGTGGCATCTGGAATTACTAGCACAAAATGAACCTCGATAAAATGCTTCACAAACTGCTGATAAATGTAATAAAACCATCAATATCTGAAAAGTCAGATAGGTTCAAACACGAGGCGTTTAGAAATGAGCTAAAAGCAATTATCAAGTCCTTTGTGATTTAAAAAGCATTTGTGATCACATTGTTATCATGAATGAAAGAGCTATATTCATGACAATATTCTTATCATGAATACTAAACAAAATCTGATGCCATGACTTTAATGACTGAGTAGGAAAGCTTTAGGTCAGGAAAATAGAAAGAACAGGCTGCAGTAAGCTAAAACGTCTCCAGATTTATACAGACAGAAGTATACAGAAGTAAAAGAAAGGAGACAGATTTTCACTGGCCTGCTTTCCTGCCACATTAACCTCTGACTTTGTACTCTTCCTGAACCTTATTAGGCCAAGAATTGTGATATGGATCCATCCAGAATTGATGGAATTGATTGATTGGATGGGAGTAGGAAAAAAGCCATGCATTTAGAATACCTTGTGTTGCTCAAGCCGAGTCCATGATGCCTGTAGAGAACAGAGAGACAACAGACAGAAGGCAAAGCAATTCTTAGAGAGAAATCCTCGTCCACTCAAAGTTGGGATTCTGCAAACTGCATGCAGGTATTAGATATCCTGTTTTTTTCCTGAGCTTCGAACGACCCTGGTCTGAATGTCTGAATGTGCTAAATCACTCAGTTCCAGTTAGCGGTATGCTTCGGATTTTCTTTCATGTGAAGCCTATTCCGTGACAACAGGGCATCTTTGAGAGGCGCATTTTGATGGATTATCTGTACTGCACACTAGAGCAGGTCCAATCTACTGGCATCATGATAGCGCCATTTCTCACAGATAAGGTTACTGGGTTATCAGGAAGAGGTGGCTCAATTACACAACAACAGAGATATGCCAGCCTGCTTTTTAAGAAGCCAGGGCAGCAATTACTGACTAACAATTAAAAATACTTTTTCATGGAGTGAATTTGCTTTTCCACAGCACAGTAAGTGGTTTAGTCGCATGAAGACATTAAACCACACAGCGATGTTACTTAAAAGGCAATGAAGGGTTGAAAATAAGTAATTAAGTCAAACCTCCTCTTACGCCCCACTGGTCCCAAAATATATATTTGCCCGCAGGTGGTCTGTGGAACAGAGCCAATTCTTTGTCATTTACTAAAGAGTGAGGTCTTTTTTTCCATTCAACTATCTTAATCTTAGGAGTATCTTTTACTGACATAATAAAACTCTCCTGTATTACACATTTATTCAATAACATCAAACACTAATTATTAACTAACATAAAACTTAAGTGTTTCTTGGCACCGTCATGCTGGTCTTATACGCTCCAGTACAGTTTACATCAGAAGATTTTCACATCGTGGCAGAGGAGACACTTTGAGCTGATGTAGACGACATGCTACACCCAGTTAAAAATCGCACAGCACTGTAAAACTCCACAAGACAGGAGGCTGTTTTGGACGGCATGCTTTGCGGATTTCATGATGTCGATGAGAAAAATGTTAAGCAAGAGAATGAGATGTGATGCCTACAAAGTGCAAAGGTACTGAAGCGCAACAAGCAGAAATGATAAACAGCCATTTCATCAGGTGCAGCAGTACAAAGATGAAGCCAGGTAAATGAGTGCAATCCACTGGAATAATTTTGGGGCATAACAGTGAATCAAACCATCAATATTCACATTTAAAAGCACCCCTGTATTATTCTCACACAACATTCTTTTTTGTATCTGAATCCATCTGGCTTTGCAACAGTTAATGTTCCAATTTGGCTGAAAAGAATTGCTCTTAACGGCTGGGACATGTCAAACGGGCAGATGTAAAAAAAAGGGCCGCGTATCACCACAGAGCTGCGAAAGAGTCGGATACCAATTAAAACAAGCAACCAAACAGCCTGGAACGCCGCCGCCTGCTCTTGAAACGCAGCTCTGAATCGGCAGTAAGTGAGCTGACAAGCGCCGCTGTCGTAACTGTGACAGGTGTTTGAGACAAAAGGACACCGAACAAATGCAGATGTGTGTGTGTGTGTGTGTGTGTGCGTCCAAAACCGAAGGAAGCCCGACACAATCATTTCTCCGAGCAAACGCGGGAAACAATATGGTGATGGCAACCTTGGGACTTTTTTTTTTCCTCCCCAGACTATTGTTGCTCCTTTCCACAGAGGATAATCCTCTCTCTTTGTTCTTACATAAACCTTAATGTCAGCGTGAAGAGGCCAGCGCAGAGGAAAGAAAGACATTTATACATGAGACCCTGACTGTCATCAGACCGAAGGCCGATGATTGCGCATATTGTCATAGTTCTGTGTCAATAAAACCTGGGCCAAGAAAAACCTTTAAATTATGATATCTTTCAGTCAAACCACATTTTACACAGCAGACTTGTTCCAGATGAGTTTCTTTTTGTTTTTAAGTTAAAAAAAAAAATCTAAATCAAATGGTTGTCAACCTTTACTTGGTGCAAAAACACTGCTAAAAAGAAAACTTATTATTCAAAACAATGAGCATCACTTGTGTTGTTTTTACTCTTGGAATGTGTCCTGATTTACTATATCTTCCTTCTGTATAGGTGAGAATATTTCCCATTATTAACCCAGCTTGAAAACTCAATGGGAATATTCATTGTGTATTCAAATAAGCAAAATATTCATTATGCAGATAATGTACAAAGCACAGATAAATACTTTATTTACATTTTCACTTATTAAACAGACACTTATCTGAAACGAGTCGCAGCAAACGCATTGAAAGGGCTGAAAGAACTCAACACCACATGCAGAGCTGATGAAACTTTTTTAATAAATGAGGGAACACTTTAGTCTGATAGCTGTATAAACAAAAACAAAACCATCCCTAGATAAGCACTGATTGGAATTTGAAATTGAACTCTAAAAAGGCACTCTCCCACAAGTCTACAACCTTTTTTATTTTTTGTTTGAACAAATTCCATTTATCCTGTGTCTTTCATGAGCGGTGCTGCTGTTTTCTATTGTATGATGCAGTAATCCTCACACTACGCTGCTCTTTACTCATGCTTACGGGACATCGCTTTTGTCTGTTAGTGCTTGAGTGAGGGGGCTATTCAGAATGAATTACTTTCCCTTTATGTTAACCTTTACAATCCGAAAACTAAAGTGGGATGGGAGCAGAGTCTAAAGAAGCAGGAAAAGGCCTTCTGCGGCATCAAACGAACGGCGATTGTCTGATACCTGATGTCAGAGACGTCATCATCACGCATGGGAGGAGACACAGCTTTCACTAACATGTCAGTGAAAGTACTCATAAATAAACATCAACCCAAATGAACAATGGTTGGAGACAAAAACAGGTTGTTTGAATATTTTAGATGCAAGTATGAGCAATTAACAAATCTACAAGATGTAAAAGTGACAGTGTTTTAGCAGATATCACTCAACCTCAGCAGAGAGCCTGTTTGTTTATTCCACTGGGCACCCTTAATGGCCTCTTCACTGACATGTTTTTTTTTGGGTTCATCAAGGCCGTGCTCAAAATGAAATGAGTCAGAATGACAAAAACATAGACATACCGCCTGATAACCCAACCAAAGTTATTTTTAATCTTCACTATGTTGAGCATTGATGCATGAATGACATGTAAAAAGTTAATCGACCAGGTGTATAAAGAAGATGACTTTTGGTGAAGTATGACTTATTCTCACATGCATCAATGCCAGATGAGCTTTATGTAAAATACTCTGTTCTTTCATGATGGTTACGCACAGAGTGTTTGTACTTTCTAATAATGTTACGCAACTAAAACCCACGACATAAAAGCCTCTGACCAAGAGAAGGGCAAACGCATTCAGCGCTAATTAATACCGTCTATTAACCAGCATCACACATCTGAAAAACACAGCACAGAGCTGTGCTGCTTTTTGGAGCAAAAGGAAAATGTCTCCTGAATAGGTTAATGAAAACACGGTTCCCGTCACATCCTTTCGGTATTCAATTCACCATGTTCACCCCGAATGAATGCCGGAACATTTGTTACACTCACCCAAGATGAAATACAGCTGTTGTGATGATTACAGATAGCATGATGAATAGACAAACATCAGATGGACAAGCAGAACGAGAAAACTAAACAATTAGCAGCCGGTTCTTTTTGCATTCATCAAAGGCCCACCACGGGAACGTTTCTAATCAGAACGATAGAGGCAAATCTAGACCATGTGCTTTCATGAGAGTCAATAAGGCTGCTAATCATTTCTTTTAAGACGGCTGTGAAGAGATGCTGCAGATCCCAGAGGATTCTGCGCACTACAGCACGAAACACACTGCCACCGCTACACAGCGGGGTGCCACCAGACGTGTCATGAGATACGGGCCCAGCCCAAAAAAATGCACGCTACAAAACTGAAATGTACAGTGTACATTGTGTGTCCCTGCTTTTGTTCAATGCTGCACCTGCAGAGTCAGAGGCTTCCATCACCACGTCTTCTGAGACATTTGGGTGGCATGTGATGTTTTTTGAGTGTTTCGCCCCAGCTTTGAATCTCTCTTCATCTATAATGACAGCTTAAGATTAAAAAAAGAAAGAAAAAAGAAAACAAGCAAAACAAGCCAATCTGGCACTGGCAGCAGAGGAAGTTGAGGCACACCAGATGGGAGAAGTGTTCTACACACGTTTCTCAGGGGATCTTGACACTGGATAATAGGACTGAGGTGCAGACCGTTACTCAGTGATGTGCCCAAGTGTGCCAGGTTGCTTAGCCACTGTGGGGGTGTGGACTTGCAAATAAATAAAAAAAAGAACATTCTTGTCGTGACGTGCGTCATACTGTATGGTGGCAATGTGTTATGTACTTAAGAGTGAGGCTCCAATCAAAGCGTATTTTTTAAATATCGCCCAGACTAGACAGCTGGCTCTAAAATGTCCCATTTGCATCTAGGCTGCTTCAATTAATAACAGTCACCAGTTTTAACCATGGCGGAAGAAATGGGCTTAATCCTTTTTCTTTGCCTTTGGTCACTTTAGTTATCAGCATGTTTTAGATGTTTCATTTCTGTCTGCAGGGGGGGAGGTTTGATATTCAAAAGATAGACTTTAAGTGGAGCACTTTAACCCTCAATTTTCATTCCCACATAAATGTTAGACAGTCTACAGAATTATGGAGGTGACAGACAGACTGAGTCGGGCTTAAGTCCAGGCAACCCCATGCTGTGATGGACAGTTTGAAATGATCACGCAAAAGCGACACAGAAATGGCGTTTTCCCTTTTATTACAATTATTATTATCATTATCGACCAAATTTTCGTCTGATCCGTTGAGATAAGCTGTACATATTAACTATCACAAGATCAGAGAAGTTTTCAGGCCATGTTTGGAAATCATGCAGGAAAATCAATTTCATGAACCCTGATGAGATCAATCCCTGCGGTTTCTAAAGAGCAGCTGGGAAATTTTCAACAAAAACGATGATTTGATTTCAGACGGATTTTCTGCATGAAGTTCTAGTTTACACACTATTGCAGTACATTTCTGTGCCACGCAGATTTCATACCTGATAGATCCTGTTTAGATGTGCCTGCAGGGAGAGAATGTAGCGCATGTAATGGGCTGGCTCCAGAATTTCACTATGAACCAAAGTGTTTCTTGAGTATTTTCGCCCTTTTTATCCTTCAGCTGCAGCAAAACATCAAAACCTTGAAGAGCCAACAAATGCAGGAGAATACTCATCGGGTAATCGATGTTTTTGATGGTTTGTACATGGGATAGCGGAGAAGATATTATAAAGGGGACATACAGGAGATTCAGGATGACAAATTCAAAAGATGGCAGCAAAATATCATAGAACCTTTCAATCACTGACATGAACAGAATAATGGCAGCAGTGATTGAAAATGCTAAACAAACACTTGATGATTCAAGTGCTCATTTGAACAAATACAATAAGAAGCAGAATTCAGTTGCCTTCATCCATGTGCTTATTTTGGGAAGGTTATGACTGAGTTTCTGAAGATGGTTTCTTTACATTTGGCAAAGCTCATATCTGAGTGTTCTCCATTTTCCTGGCTGAGTTTCACTGAGATAATTACATGAGATCCACTGGGCCAACTCAAAGCAAACACTAATTTAGGGTAAATAATCAGCAGTATACACAACCTCATCCATGGCACTTTGCAGTAAATGCGCACAAGTCCCCCACCTGCACCGAATCAATATTCCTCTTGAAAAAAGGTTAAAGGTATTCAATTCTTTTCCTTGAAACACCTGTGTCCTGCAGTTTTTTGTTCCTCCCTTGTGATTCCTGCTCGGTGGTTCCTAATCGTACCAACTAATGCATCACAAGAACATATTCAAAGGCAGATATACAAGAAATGGCCTTTTTGCATTTACCCCACAGTGGAAAGCATATAGGGTATATAGTGTTTTTTTCCTTCAACTACTTACTGAAAAATGAAAGTGTTTAGATCAAAGGACACCAAGTCGATGTAACACAGACTGCATCAGTCACAGAGGTACATTATTAAGCGAGGTCAGTGGCTCAGTGAGCTTTGTTAGCCGAAAGTCTGTTTTTCTGTGTCATAAAGGTGAGGATCTTTTAATCTTGCAAAATCCCCATGGTAACTCAAAATGTCTGTCAGTGTCCCTCATGACCTGTCAAAGAGCCTTTATGTTCAGAGTTTCAGATTAAATTCTCTGATAAAACTGGATTTTTCTGATTCTTGACCAGATCACACTTAAGACAGGAAACCTTTAAATATTGTTGTGAAGAACAATCAAAGAAGATGTCTGACAATTCAGAAAAAATCGAAGGTTCACTAATGTCTAACAAACATTTGATAGTTAAACAGAGAATTGCTAACGAAAAAAAAAATTCTAAAAGTGGGGCACTGTATCACAGGCAGAGGCTGATATAATCTTGGTATTTTAATCCCAAAACATCACCAAAACACAATGCTGATTCCATTAGATAATTTCTGTATTTGATCTCTGAAAATTTAGCACACTATTGAACATAATATAAACAAAATAATTCCTTTAGGCCAGAAAATGGAGTCAGAGAGAGTTATATGTGTTTTTTAAATGTTATCCCAAATTGCCAACAATTTTGTTGTAAAGCCCACAGCTGATATTGAACTAACACTTTAGTAAATACATTACTTGGACTTCATATCAGTAAAGTTTAGGATACTGTTCATTCTTCTCTAACCATAAAGTAATACCTTTAAGAAAGCCTGGTTGTTTCAGGGTATCGGTATCTCGAGAATCAGAATATAAAAACCCTTAGATGCTCATCCATACTGCCTTGGTGATTTTACCTGTTCTCCCTCGGTGAAGACGCGCTCACCGTAGCTCCAGCTGATGGTGGGAGTTGGATCTCCAGACGCCTCACAAGTTAGAGTTACCTGCTCCTCCATCTCTGAGGTTTGCTGGTTTCCAATGTATGTGATCTTGGGTTTAACTGTGAAAACAAACCCAAAGTCTGAATAACTGCTCTTGCAGAACAACACCGTCAGGCAGTTTGGCAGGTGAAGCAGAAAGAGTGACAGCGCACATTTTAGGATGGGTCTAAAGGCAGGGTGAGGTTAAAGGCTTGACAGGAGAGAGATTTTTGTAGGAGCAAAAAGCTCTTTTTAAGCTTTCTTGTGTGGTTAAGTTTTCATAACCATGTCTGGATCCAGACTTTAAAAAACTGAATAATTTAGTAAGCTTATCTGAAAGATGAAGGCTCCATTTTTTTGTTTACATTTCAGGTAACTGTCAAGATACAGCACACCAGAGTTAACCTGAAAGCACAGCAGGGAGCCAGAAACGGTGACGTGCGAAGAGTAAAGCTGAAGTGGGACTTCAGAGGATTGTGGTTCAGCATTTCCCTGTGCTCTCATCTTTTTCACTCCACTCAGTGAAGGATCAGCATGTGGATTCAGCTATGTTTTTCATAAATGGAAGTCTATCCAGCGTAGTGAGTATGAATTCATCAGCCATAAATCCGTCTTATACATACCTCACCTAATTCAGGGTCAGGGTGTTGATATTCTGTGCTATATCTTTTAGTCCAAACAAGAATGATATTGGTCATCACAAACAAGCTCTGCCTTAACCTTGCCATTACTACAGTTCTGATATTTTCTGCATTCAGCACTGATATCAATGCAGCTATATTCAAAGGCTGTAATAGAAGACACTTGCTCTTGAAGAGGTTTTGAGTTGGTTGAAAAAGAGAGAAAATCTTTTGGAGATAATGCGATAAACGATGTGTTCTGAAAGCTGTGTGTGTTGTTCCAGTGTATGAATCAATGGGCAATCCTTCAGTTTAGTCAAATAAGATGCACCATACAGCCTGTTGTGAATCGAATTCAGCACATCATGATTAGATCTGAAAATATGCTTGAAAAGACATGACAAAAAACAAAAAAAAGGCAGGAACAATTAAAACATGAAAAAAAAAAACTTGAAAGACATAGTCTGAGCTCATCCCATTTGTTCGGTTCTCTAAATCCTGAAGTTCCATTCCTACATAAAACAATCACAGCCTACACTAAAACAACACTTTATTCTTGTGCGCCTTGGAAAAAAGACAAAGAACCATACTATTGTTCTTCCCCCACATATATGCTCAAATACCTCATTCCCACTCACTTGGAACATTTCATATTGACTCTAGTTGATGTGTGCATAGCATATAAAATCAATCCGTCTTACCAAACACTCTCAGACTGAGTTCCTGGTCTGCCTCCCCAGCCTTGTTCTTGGCAATGCAGGTGTACTCTCCTTCATCCAGTTTGGTAACATCCATTATTGTCATTTCTGAGCCATCTTCATTAAAGCTGTACTTCTCTCCAGCATCGAGATCAATCCCATTCCTTTGTAGAACATAAAAGTGTTAAATCTAGTCAACACCTCTGTTGAAAATTATGATCCCATGTTTCTCAATCTCAGAGGGACAAACCACGCAAGAGATGACATAAAAACATAATGACAAAAACAAATAAAAGATGTAAATATTTGAGATTTGATTTTTGCACTTTACGGTTTAATCCAAAGTGTTAAGTGATGGGGTACAAACTGTTGCTTAAGCCTTGCTGAGATGTAAAAGAAGAAAATGTTTCCTGCCCTCTTATCTGACAAACTGTGATAGCTTGTTATGTGTTTCAGTAAGCTTCTGTAAGACACTGGTGCTCTGTAACTCCACTGTGGCAAAACTGATGAAAACCAAGGCCCACGGTAACTCGAAGGCTGTTTGAACTTTGCGACCCTGGATCTAAGTTATCTTCAGTGTTAATTGTGGTCTTGGAAACATGATGAATGGGAACTATCTAACAAAGCAGCAGCCTATCAATGGCAGTATTCAGGCACAAAGATAATGTGGGTATTGTTGACAAGCTGCTCTTCAGGTTTCACCGCTTACCTTTGAAACCCTGTGATAAAGACTCCTATTGCAATGAATAAATCATCCTGCGGAATATCTATAATAACTTGGAGTGTCATGCTTGCAGATACAACAATGAGCCAAAAATTAGGCCACCAGTGGGACTGATACACAGAGCTAATACAATATAGGTGTTATGTAATGTACATTTCTTGGGTTTTTTTTCATTGATGACAAGCATCTGATAAACAAACCTCATCCTCTTTATTTCTACCATATGTGCAGAATATGTTTACTTAAAGAATGACAGTAATGTTTCATTCTGACAGCAAATGGATCCCTATGTTTTATTCTGTTAAACCTTTACTTTACATCTTTAAGCTATCCAATGTATGCAATGAGGGAGGCAAATTTGCTGCATATAAGTCAATGATGACTTGTGGCAAAATCTCAAGATGTAGAAGCCATGTTTGCTCATTTTTCAAAATGCTATTAGCTGATATTTTGCTCGTACAACTCGCATACCTCATTATTTTTTATTAGCCCTGCCTCATTAGTCTGTTGCAGTTGGCTTTTACCTCCACTGATGATGTGTGTCAACAACCACTTGGAGCTGTTTACAATAACTGGCAAGTAAACCCTGGTCCAAAGCCACATTACTGTACAGCAACATCAGTGCTCTCTACATAAAATCATTTTCCTGAGTCTTGTTTTTTCTTCTAGTTTATTTCAGTCTGATTTGTTTTTTTCTGATTTCCCCTTTAATATTCTGTTTTTTATCTTGTAAAATCATTGTGTCAATAACCAGGATGTCTGAAATGTCTTTAATTTTAGTTAGCTAAGTAAAAAGTTACTAAATGTGGACGTCATTATGGCAACGTCACTGTGAAGGAGCTTGATTTATGCTAAAATCTAACTGTGTTTTAGCCGGTTACTAATGTTGGGCAAGAAAAAGCATACAGTATCTGAGCTTGCTAGCAAAGTGTACCTTGTCCAGGTCACCATCGGTTCAGGAAAGCCATCGACAGCACAAGTCAGAACGGCAGGTTGCTGAATGTCTGCAGTGGAATTCACCTCTGACTGCCATATTCTTATGGTCGGGAGCACTGGTAAAGAGAGGTACATCAATAATCATGAAACAAGGAAATAAAGACAGGCAGACCGTCTTGACCCGTGTATGCAAACTGAGCAGGGAGGACTCATTTAAGTGCAAACTAATCAGCAGAAGTTGCATGAAATAGACCTCATTAGCGTGGATTATCTTTGATATATGGTTGCTCTTGGATACTGCTTCAACAATGATGCAGAGCCGTGCTGCTTCGGAGGATCTACACCTCATTTGAGCGTCATGGGACACCTGCTACACAAAAACATGCGCTCGGGGATAAAAAAGGAAGAGGAGGAGAGAGCTACTAACCATTCACAACGACCTTGATGACACGCAGATCAATCTCACCGCGGGCCATGAGGCGACCCTCACAAATATAAAAGCCTTCATCTGTCTTCTTAATGCCGCGGATTTGTAGGTGATTGTTGTTTAATACCTTGAAACGAACTAAAAGGAAGCAAAGCATAAATTAATCACAGATCTGTTTATTTGACGGCTTAACAACATGGTAAACACAGCTGTCATTGTTCTAACAAGCAGATATGACAGCACAATACACACAGAAAACTCATCGATAAATTATTCAGTTTAGCTATGCCTTAATATTTCAATACCCTGCAGGGTTCTGACATGTTTCTCTTGTTAATTTTAACAATCAAAGTGCAGTTTAGGCTCCATTTCTTATGAAAATAGGAAAAGCTGAAAGATATGTTTCTCACATTGGAAAGGGCACGCTGAACGAATATAGGAACCACCAACACAAACACAAGAAATGGGGAAAAAAAGGAAGGAAAGCTTCAAGACTGGTGTTATTCCAACTTGTATTTCCATTCTTATTATTTGTATCATTTGTTGTATTATCCCACCCTCTGAACCCTGTCCTTAATAAAGTCTGAAATGAATTCATTTCATCTCCATTTGGAGATGCTTCGAAAAGCTTGAGGCAAAGAGAAAAAGGACCCCCGGCAACATGAATGCCTTCAGGTTGAGAATAAATGTGAAACCCAAAAATGCGCTGATGTAATAATCCAAAATACCATTACAATTCACACATGAGCAGATTTTATTATATTTCAGTGCGCAATGCCAATGCGGCCATAATGATATTGCTCAGTGCCAAAATAGAATCACACAGTTTGTTGTATTTTCAAATTCAAGACCAAATTCATTTTTCCTTTCATAGCACAAGCTTAACCCAAGGGATGAAAAGCAGCCACAGCTCATGAGCAATTTCAGGTTTGCAACACCGGGAAAATGGTTATATATTATTAAGCAGTTTCTGGGTGCATGTGTCTGACTTTCTTTTATACGCTCTGTATTGGTAGCTGACATTTTCTAAATCATAAAGTTGACAACAAAAAACTAATCAAACAAAGTAAGACAGTAACATTCTTCATTTCATGGGAATCTCGCAGATAAATTTGGCAAATACAAAATCAAATAAATTAATATCTCCCTTTTAGAACAGCAGCAGCTGAGAAATCTTACCATCCTTTTCCATCTGTATTTGGGCGCCTTTATATTTCCAGAGCACCGTAGGTGGGGGGGAGCTAATGACGTCGCAAACCAGGTTTGCATTGTCTCCTTCAGTAAACTCTTGGGGGGACGGCGCATTTGTGAAGGTGATTTTTTCTGTAACGAAACAAGAAAAAAAGTGTTTTAATTTATGTGTCCACATACTGTGAAGCCAACAGCATCTTCAAAATAAGAGTAATTCATCTCTTTCAAATCTCACAATTTAAAAAAGCGTCAAACTGAACTTAATCTAAGCGTTTGCTGCGTTAACTCAATTATCTAAATGTTAACCATTTAAGGAGGCTTTTCCCCACCCAAAGCACTTACCAGAACTAAACACAAACACACTTTTGTTTTGGTTCCATGCTCTGAATCGAATTGGCTCATAGACGACTGACACAAAATTTTGCCATAGCTAGATCATAAAACGTATGTTTTTCGGGTAAAAGCTTGTGACGTACTGCAAAAACAAACTTCCAAATGCTTCGGTGATCAATCACTTCCATTGAAGATTTGAAATAAAAGCAATGCCACAGACCAGGAGAAAAGTTTGATTTGGAAAAGAACTGGACAGACATTTGCTGATGCCTGGCATTCATGGAAAATAAAAACCATTACTCATGAGAACAGACAGGCTCATTAAACAGCTCTCTAACAGTCTTCCGACCATTTATTGAACTGATGAAAAATCCTCACTTGAAAAAAGAAAAGAGTAATGTGTTGCCCTTGAGCAGTCAATAAAATACCAAGCGTTCAATAAACGGGATCCTTTTTTTCCTCTATGTTCATATCACTCAATAGTTTTGGGATTTATTCCAGTGAGAAGAAAACAAGACATTTTTCTTTAAAAACTTACGGAAGATTTTCACTTTGACGGTTGACTCTGCTTGCTGGTCTCCACTGGTTGCGACACACTTGTATGTCCCAGCATTTTCGGTCCCAGCTTTATAGATCGTGAGGGTGGAGGATGACTCATCGTTTCGGGTTACCGTGATGTCCGGTCTGCTGGGCTCTATCTTGTCCCCATTTGTGCCAAACCACTCTATCTGCTTGGCAACACCTACAACTAAATACAAATAGAACACAGAGAAGCTAATGAGAAAAAAGAAAAAAAAAAGGATTTCCTCTAAATGAGTGAGGTGAACTCCTGCCAACAGACTTAATGGTGTGGGTGGTGCTCGCTCCTGTGTGCAGCGGCTTCTCGTTCTGGTGCGTTTTGATTTCATGGACTGACAAAGGGGGGTAATGAATGTCCAAACACATTTTGAGGCCCATGGATATCACACCCAGCTGAGTGTGTGGAAAAATATCAATACATTCTGTTTTTACAAGAAGCATAATTGCGTGATCTAATCACATCATGGACAGAAACATTATTGTAATGGTCTCCCTTCCTTTCTGAGCTGGTCCACTTTAAAGCAGGCTGCACAGAAATAACTATCATTATGAATAATGAGAGTAGAGCTAATTACAGGAATACTACATGTTATCTCACTAGAGCCGTCTTGTACATATCTATAGGTACCCATGGGGCTGTTTCAAACCAATATAAAAACTTATCTCCAGTAATGGAGAAATCTGCACATTTCTGAAGTCTAACTTGATGCCATGAGCCAAAGCACTTCAGTCTCCCTTCCCGTTCCTCTATCCCTCTGCGAGTACTTCAAAAACAGTTTAAGCAACAGCCAGTTTTGAAGAAAAGACGGTGAATGTTTGTGTTGTGAATTTGATTGTGCTTCCTGAGCTGTTACTTGTACCACCTGTTAAGAGTTTCAAGTCGTCTGTTTCAGAGAATATTTGTACATTTCGGCTCTATAAATGCAGCAGTAATAACCTCGCTCAGTGGTCTCAAGATAATTCCCTCAGTATGCTCGACGGGGAGGCCTTCACTGGTGGCAGCCTGCTGCAGGAGCTCTGTTCTCTCTTGACTTCATCAGATTTACCAATATCTTGTTTTTTTCATAAAAAAAAACACTTTCATGTTGCTATAGATGCTGTGACCCTAGAATGATTTCTGCTCGTAAGCTAGTTTGTACTTTGGCTATGATCAATAATCACGACAACGGGAAGAGTGCTTCCACATTGAAGGTTTTGATTGGGCTTGCAGGCAAAAGCAGACTCTCAGACGGTACATGAATCACACAGCATCAACAACATTTTCACACTTTTATTAGCAGATCTGACGATCAGGCTTGACTGTTTGGGAGCACACAGCTCTCTAACTGTCTCTACATACCTAGTCGGCACCAAATTGATTTTTTCCTTTAACATTTTCTCTGTTGGGTAAATGATAAATTCTAAAGTCCCTCTCTGATCTGTCTGTTAAGCCGTTATGTGATAGCTCTTGTGTATGTTTTTGTTCAGTGAATACAATCAACCTTCATCATTTAAAAAATGAGCAAGAAAAAGTAAAGAAATTACTTTAGCTTCATTTTGTTTTATAACAACTTGATTATTATATCTTTCTCATAGGCCCTGATGCCCTACCTCTATCAGCAGAAGTCAAAATGGGACTGAACACAAAACAATGGTAAGCATGAGACATTGGCTGAACTTACCTTGACACATGAAGAATTTGGACTCTCCGAGGCTAATCTCGCCATGTGAGGGTGTGATCTGCACTTCCAGAGAAACTAAAGGTAAAAAAGAGAGACAATTTCAATATAAGGCGCAACACGAGTAAAGTGCTGATGAACAGTTCCATTCTTTTTAGATAACACTACAATTATTCAACTCTAAGAGATATTAAAATGAAATTACTTGACTAACTAATAGAACAGTACATGCTGACATATTAATGTGAGCCATCTGCAGGAAACATCACCAGCAGCCACCTGCAGCTCCGCTTCGATTTCCATCAAATTCAATTTGACAGAGCACCAGCCTCATAGCTGGAGTGTAAACATGCATCTGATGTCTCCAAGCACAGAAAATCTAGCTGAGGGGCACTGAGGAGTTCCATCATTAGAAGTAGGACAGGACAAAGGCCTGGGCTAAAACCACCACATTTGCAACAATATTAATTAAATGGAGATTACATGAACGAATGAGGAGATAAAAACTGTCAGCCGTCTACATGTAATGATGGCTAAAAAAACTAAAAAAACAGCAAATATCAGATTTGTAAAAACACAGTATAAACAGGTCAACCGGAAGGGGCACTGAGTTGTCCATAAATAGTTAATAAAAAACAATAAATTGTCTTGATGCTGACCGTGCAGCTTGGACTGAGGAAACTTAAACAGAGCTGCAGACTGAAAATAAAGGGATGCTGATATAACATTTTGTCCCTACAGAGGTCTGTGGAACCACCCAGTAACCTGTGGGGGATTTCCTTCACCGCAATAGCCTCAGCAGTGACATCTGTGTCTTTGAACACACCACCGTGAGCCTGAAAAAGCATAAGGACCAGTAAATGTGTCCATACACATCAATAACTGAGCCAGTTCGGCTAGCAAAAGAAATAAGACTTCCCCTTCCTTTTTTTTTTTAGCAGTCCTGTCTTTTTAACAGAGATAACAAAAGCAATTTATGATTCTACCACACCTGAAAGGGAAAATCAGGGCTGTGGCTCTAATTCACTTTTCTCCACACTAAGACTGTGTCAAACACGTTTAGTATTCTCCATTTGAAGTCGGTTCAAACACGGAAGAAGACATGCATCGAAAGATTTAATTAGTTTTATTTCCCCAATTAGTGCTCTCTGCACATCATAAACCTTTTCATTAGCCACCTGTGCAAATGACGAGTAAGCAATAACGTCATGCAGAACTCAGAAACTAAAACATAGAACAGAGACACTGTTGTGGGAAATCAAACACAAGGAGGATGCTCCAGTCAATGGCTGCCGCAGGGAGGTGAAGCAGCAATTACACAGAGAAGTATCACATATGGGATACCATGGTGAGCATCAAGCCGAGATAAACAAACTGGCTGTTGTGTTACAATAAGTTCTGCTTGGACAACTCTTCCCTTTGCCACAAAATGGCAGCTAATTTAGCCTGACTCCGTGCTCTGTAATTATGTCGGAAATCACTTCTAACTCACAAAATAGCTTTGTTTAACCAAGTTGTGCTGGTGCAGTTATGATACTCGTTAGAGGTGAACAGCTAACAATCGGCGGGGGAAAAAGTGACACTTTTTGCCGTTAAGAAATTATACAGGCATCAAACTGGATTAACTGTCATCAGAGCAGTAAGCCAGGCTTTAATTCCTGTCACTATACTTCACAACACTGCTTTTCCCATTAAAATCAACAATGCAAAACCTTTCTCATGTCCCCAGGAAATCTGACAGAAGAATGGGAGTCCCACAGGGAATTCACATCACATGATCCTGTTTTCCGTTTCCGGCTATCTCACCGAATATTATGTTCCGATACAGCAGCAACACACCTGTCCTCTAAACTAAATCCCACCCTAGGCTAAACACTAATTGGCTCCCTGAGATACAAGGCAAAGCTGTGGCTGCTCTTCGCTTAGACTTATGACGACAGGCTAATTGCTCCTCAACCAAAAGCTCACTTTTTCCATATTAAAGGGAAGCTAATAAGATACTGCTGCTCGCGCCTTGTTAAAGTAAAAAAAAAAAAAATGCCTACTTGCCAAACTAGCAGAAGCAAGCATGAAATCTAAAAATGTTTAAAAATGGAATCTGCAACCAAGATCTGCTTTCAACTCGAGGCTGAGACTGTTCACTATATGCCCATAAGTCTCAACATCAAAACGTCTGAAAGACCAAACTACAAAACAGAACTGAATGACGTTTATCGTCTTATACCAAAATGACTTGCTGTGAGACCTTGAGTTAAGAATTAATAGACACATACCACTGCCTGAACCTTGCGTGTAGGCTAAAAAAAAACAAAGCCTCAATGCAATGACACTTGTTAATAGCAGACAGACCCGTGGCAGGCTGCTGCTCTCCGGTCCGTCTGCAACAACCAAAGCAATGTGACTGAGGCCAGAGAAATGGCTCTGAATTCAAAATATCAAAATATGATCAAACAAAAATAAATGGAAACAAACCCAGTCCAGACGCGGCATTTCCAGGATGCTTTACACACTCCTGCACCATTAGAACAGCAGTGCAAAACCAGTGGCATTGTTAAAGCATTCTGATTGAGTAATTGAGTTTCTAAAGGTGAAGAAATAGGAATGCTTGTTTTTGTTTCATGTGTCTAATTCTACCACTACCCCAGTTCCTTTGCTTCAGAATTTAGCGACAGTTCCAAGACCATGAAAATGTATTATTTCAGTATTTCTGTTTTCTTTTTCCTGCTCTCCCCTTAGGTTCTTTCACTAATAAACAATTGTAGGATAGTGCCAATAACTGCCTTGTTTTGTGTTATTGTTATAGTGGACATGACTGACCTATCTCTAGCCTAATCCTAATGTACCAATTTCCAATCCCTCCAAGGGGTTAGATATAAGTATGTGAAATTGTTTTCAGAAACAGAAAAAAATGAAAATGAGGAAGAAAGAAGATGGCCAAAAGAGGACTGCTTGAAAAATGTACAAAGGCATAAACAATTCAAGTAGAAAAGAGTGACCTAGTTCCAGGTGAACATATAATCTAATCTCCATGCAGCAAAACCTGGCATCCAGGTAAAATGGTAAAAAAGGAAGTGGTAGAAATATCAGCAGAAAAATTGGTCTGCATTGACAAACCACAAGAAAAAGAATAAATCAGGTCTGGACTGAGCTTGTTCTAGTTTATGTACTTTTTGTTGCCTCTTGAAATCTAAAAATCTGCTTTTCATTTCCATAATTTAAAAAATAAAGACATAATGAGAAAGTAAGAATTACAACCGTGTCTCCATAGGGTCACAATTTAATTTCATACCAATTATTTATATCATTTTTCTTCTTTTAGAATTTAAGTTAAAATATTTAAACAAGCATCCATCCATCCATCCCCTGAGAAATATTTACAAGAGGAGACTCTTCCAACCGGATCATGGAAATACTTCAACCCTGAACTCCTCCCACAATATGCAGCGCCTCTTTCTTTACAATCACACACTGACAAGCATATCAGGAGCAATATGGGGGCTAAGTGTCTTGGTCAAGGACACTTGCATACATGGAGGGGTCAAACCAGATGATGAGAGCACTTCTCAACCATCTGAGCCAGGGAAATTATGAGAGGTTTTTGAAGGGGTTCAAGTTTAAACGCAATAATTCTAAAAAGAGGAATGGGAACTTAGTCAAGAATCACACCAAGTAATATAAAAAGAAGGATTTGACATTAATGGATAAATGCAATTAATGTCAAATCAACAAATTGCCAGTTCGCTTTGCAGACATAATGATCAGCTACCAGAAGACAGACTCACACTGCTTGTCTGAGCTGCAAATTAAGGTTGTTTTCATATCGAATTAACGTGAAAAATACTTTACGTGCAGCTAAATGTAATCAGCTAAAGCTACACCACAATATGGAGGAGATGCCAAGACGCCACAAACAGAAAATGTAGGTGATGGCTGTTTTTTAATGCATTGGAGTGGGGAAGAAAAAGTCAGAAAGATCCTAACGCACGGCATGAAGCGCCGCTCTGACATAAACAGTTCATTTGTGATTTAACATTCAGTCTAGCTGTGGGCAAAGTCACATTTGGATGCAGGCTGATCATGACTATTCGAGACAGCTTGCATTGTCAATAATACATGTCTCTGCAGGTCATCAACTAAACCACAGCGTTCATCGTCCAAGAGAAAACTCATTACATTTTTTTGCAACTTGGAGAAAAAACATTTACGGTTGATGATATATCACATTTTTCAAAACTAATTTGCCTATAGCTTCTCAATGCAGATCACAGTGTGATGCAGTGGAATGAAACGCACTGTAAAGAGCTCCATCTGACTTAATTGTATTTCACTGTGCTAGTCCCGCTTTCCAAACAACTGTTTTGTTTTTCTTATCTTTAGGAACAATATTAATTCTTTCTTCGGCACAGCTTCAAGGCACTGCGCTGATGTGTTCCGTAGCAGCACGCGCACATGTGCTAACACGTGTTGGTTCCTCTATGTGCAAAGATGTTTGTGGAGGAGGGATTATTTCATGAATGAAAACGGTGTACAAAGATGTTCTTGATCTTAAGTAATCGGTGGATGCAGCTGGTAGACCTTTAACAGTCTCATGTACGGTAGCTTAAATCCAACGTTCAAGGCTCAGGTTGCATCTTAAATGTAAACTACCCCCAGATAGATACTGTTACTCACACACACACACACACACACACACACACATATATACATATATATATATATAGAGAGAGAGATGGAAAGGATGGCATATATATCAGCTTTATGCAGATTCTGGCCTTTTGCTGCTGGTCTATGTGGTTATCTTAGAGTACCTCCGAGCTGCAGCTGAAGCTTTAGGATGTTGCAGTAAAACTCAACCTAAGCGGCGACTCGGCTCACTTGCTGCGTGGGATTATGATCATCATCTATTCTGCCAGAATAAAACATACACTAACATGCAGGACCGCTTTAACTTTAAGCCCGCCACACTTACAGTCACAGCGTAAAGCCCCGCTTAGTATTTAGGGGGAAACTAAACGATCTACACCAAAGACGAGGACTGGGAATGGTTGACTAAGTCATTATGGATGACAGAATAAATA